TTATCTTTGCTTATGCATTGTGTATTTTTTCTTAAACATTTACTCATTTATTTTTAGACTTTTTATCAACATATAAAGTAGGTGAACGGTATAACTAAATACATATTATGCCTTCCAACAGAGGGATCATTGCAGATTGGTTGTTGTATAACTATTGCCAGAACCACCGGATCAAAGTTCTATCTGAAACACGGAGAAACTAGTGATGTTAAAATTTGGGTCACCCATCCGATGTCAGTCATTGCGAAAGTTGATTAACCTCAACAATCGTAGATTGAGCGTTTTAGTCACTGTATGCGCCATCGATATAATATATATTCAAAGCAAGATATTCAACTTGATTTCTCCTTTTGTAGATATGCGAAATTGGACCATGCGCTGTCAACATGTGTACTTCATAATATTAAACTTATTTGTTTCTTAGGTTTTCACGGTTTCACACCACACGTTAAATAAAACAAATTTCAACGGTATATAGATGCACTGATTTATTTATTTACTGACTTTTTGCATCCTTTTCAAGATGCGTTATAATAATAGACGACGCAAATAAGTACTTAGTATAAATAAGTTAAAAAATAAATAAAAAAAACATTGTAAATCAATGCATCCATACCGTTAATTTATTTAATATTAAACTTGTTCCTATTATAGATATGCCAAACCGGATCTCTACATTTTAGGTAAATTTATTTAAAATTTGCAATTCTTCCGTGCGGTATCGCTAAAAAATTACCTATAATATGGATATTTAGTTTTTTTTTTAATATACTTAAATAGCCAGGTAGGCAAATAACTCTATTCTACCTGATGTTAAGTGGTGATAAAGTTATTTAAAGTAAATAGGTTTTATTTAAATTCAACACATTGTACCAAGAGCTTACAGTAGTGTAAGGAAACACTGTATGATATCATCCCGTTTTCATACAACAATACTTTTAGCTGATTTTGTTAAGATTATTTAGAAAGTGTACAATTTTTTGTAATTAGCATAGTTCGATAACTCAATGTTTATCTAAATACAACAAGTTTCAATGGTAAAGACGCACTGATTTATTAATTGACGTTTAGCATCCTTTTCAGTATGCGTAGTCTACATTTCATAATGTAATAATAATTCAGACGGCTCATCCTGCAAACGATGCGAAACGTCAATAAATAAATTAATCAGTGCATCTATACCGTCAAAACTTGTTTAATTTTATGAGTGGTGTTCGTGAAAACATAAGAAACATCAATGTTTATTTGTCATGTCATTATGAACTTCATGATTCCTTTTAAGATTCTCTTTACGAAACATTTGGTCTTCATAACAAATAAACTTAGTCACTTTTCTGACGAAAACAGTTCTATTTTGACTAAACACACAGAAGTCTGAGCAACATGCGTCAATTATGCATACTGCAAGATTTATTAGTTGGTATTTAATATCATCGTTTAGAAATGTATAATGGTTCAAAAGTTTTCGCTTAAGTTATTAAATATTAAACATCGGTGATAAGTTCAAAAAAAATCATGTCGCTTATCTTTTGATTAGTTAGTACCAGTTAAGTAGAAAATCGTTTATGATATTGTTGACATGAACACAGAATGAGGTTAAAAGAGCCTTGTGGGCATCGCAGGCGCGCACAGTTATGTGTGAGCAAATGCTCATAACTTGACCAAAACTTGGTTCTGATTGCGTCGTTGCTCTCGGATGTGAGCGCGGATTGGTTCGTTCGTTTGATTTAACATCGTTTGATTCATCATCATCATCATCAACAGCCTATCTTAGTCCACTGCTGGACATAGGCCTCTCCAAATGCACGCCACTCAGATCGATCTTGGGCTACTCGCATCCAGCTCCTGCCAGCCACCTTGCGCAAATCGTCACTCCACCGTACCCGAGGACGTCCTACACTACGTTTGCCTAGACGCGGTCTCCACTCCAGAACTCGTCTACCCCAACGGTTATCGGTTCTTCGGCAAATATGGCCAGCCCACTGCTACTTCAACTTGCTAATCCGGTGGGCTATGTCGATAACTCTGGTTCTCTGTCGGATTACCTCATTTCTGATGCGATCTTTCAGAGAAACGTCGAGCATAGCCCTTTACATAGCGCGCTGAGCGTCGTTTGATTCGCTATTATCTATTAGATGGAAGTGTTATGGGGTCGAGCCGGCGACATCGGTTCCCGTACAAATGGTCTCTGATCACCCATCTAATTTCTTTCTGTGTTCTGTGGTAGGTATCTATATTCAGCTTTTCACTTCTTGCTTTTATCCATTAGGAAAGTTAGAAATCTACGTGGTTTTGCTACATGCAAATACAACTTTGGTAAAATGGGCAAAAGAAAGGAAATGTATTAAGTGTTAAACAAACTTGCTGTTAAATAAAACTAGTTTTAACGGGTTAATGCACGAAACTTTATTTATTTATTGACGTTTCGCAGCCTAACTAGTTTTATTTAATGAGTGATGTGCGTAAAAACCTAAGAAATAAATAAACTTGCTGTTTTTAAGCTTTTTTCATAATAACTTTAACAGTTGAATCCCTTTAAAAAAGTATATATCTTCTTTATATATATAATTCTTCTGTGAGTGTGTATGTCACTGAACTTCTCTTAAACGACTGGACCGATTTTGATGAAATTTTTTGTGTGTGTTCAAGGGGATCTGAGAATGGTTTAGATTCACAAAGACGTGTAGACAGGACAACGTCTGTCGGGTCCGCTAGTACTTATATAAATTTACAACTTAAATGTGAAATTGTTCGAATACCATAATTTATAGGTAGTTGAAGTTCCTTTGAATAAAGCAACAGAACTGGATAATAAAATATAATTTGATGGTTTAATGGAATTGCTTGCATTAATTGAGTCATGAATATTTTTTTTTGTTTATAAAGTCATTATTATGGGTTTTTTTAATCCATTAAAATCTCACAATTTCCAAAATGCAGTATGTTTCAAACAAATACTTTATCTCATTTTATTATAAAGTACCGTATTAAATAATGTTTAAGTTGGATGAAGTAATGGTTGCAACTTCTGCGGAGACGCGGCGCCACCACGTCTGTCCATTTTATAGTGTACGGGGCGCTTGATTTTTTTTTTATATTTCACTGCTTATCTGATGGAAAGCGATCACCGTCGCCCATTGACATCTGCTACACCAAGAAGCCTAATGTAATTGAACGACAAAACGAATTTTTCGATCGAATCTTCGCATTTTTCTTACAATGTTTCTGGTTCGTTTTTAATCATAATAATATTCGTCATCGGAATATAGATTAAGGTGTAGATTTTTTAAACCTACTCGAAGAAAGCTTCAATTTGATAGTTTATCTTTCTCTAAATATAGTCACATTGATAACATTTTTATTTCTTTTTGTTTTGTTTATGTTCATTGTGATACCAAAAATTGTTTCTTTTTTCTCTCGTGTTTATTAGACACTATGTGAGATAAATAATAGTGGAAATTACCTAGGCAATTGTTTAAACTAATGTTATATTTTTTATGTAAAAATTAATGCTGTTATTTCCCTAAAAATAAATAACCTTAAATTGACGAAATCTTTTTTTTTTGAACTTCGTTATCGAAAGTTAGTTTCGGAGAAAGAGAGTAAGCCACAAATGCGATGCCGGCATTTAAAGAAGGAGTACGCTCTTTTGTTGAAGATTTTCGGGGCGTATTAGTCCAGAAACACTGCTGGCGACAATGTAATCCACTGTTTTGACGTACGTGGTAAAAAATTTCGACAAAATCTCACGATTGCGGATGGTTTAAACTGGGTCCGTATTACCCCTCATCAGCCTATTAATGTCCCCACTGCTGGGGCACAGGCCTTCCCTATGGATGGAATAGGGAGATTGGGCCATGACCCACCACGCGGGCCCAGTGCGGATTGGTGGGTGCTAACGACTGCAGATGCAGCCGGGACCAACGGCTTAACGTGCCTTCCGAAGCACGGAGGAGCTCGAGATAGTAAGTTTTGGTCACCCATCCAATGACCGACCACTGCGAAAGTTGCTTAACTTCAACGATCGCAGCCGAACGCGCTAACCCCTTGCGCCATCGAGCTCCTCCGTATTACCGCGGGTCTACAAATATTTGAATGACTCGTCAGTCGCGGTCACCGAAACACCACCGGTATTATTCGCGCCAATGCACTTTGTAATCTGTGCAGCTCACTCAGTAAAAACTGTATTAACAGCTCAAACGATGCACAAAAGGCAATCGAATGATTCCATGAATTCAAATCGCGGTTAAACTTAATAAAAAATGTCAAAGAGAAGCCGTCGGCACAGATACTAAGTGTTCATCAAACACCTCGTAAATAATACAGTTAGATAATTACAGCTGAACTTAGTTTTTAAACAATTTTCTTAGTTTTGAAAAGACATGAACCGTTATAATGATTTGCACAATGACAAAAGACATTATAGCTCTACATTTTTTAAGAGAGTAAGTATTATAATGTTTCGTTACCACAATATTGCAAAAACATCTCAGCACTACACAGTTCTTGAAAAGGAAAGTAATTTGCCACATGAAAAGCAGTACATTCTGTTCTACGCCAACATAGTAATTAATAACATACAAAAACACCGCAAAAAATCGACGCCCGTATGTAAAATTGAATGGTTATTAAGTTTATCACGCTCTCTGCATTCTGTACGTGTATAGAATTTGCTGTTCCATTAGTTCAATCACTTAACCGACTTAGAAAAAGCGTGGTGTCACGGATGACGTAACAGGAAAACATGCCGGTCACCAAAAAAATAATCTAATTACCGGCGTGCGGCGCAGTAGCCTGCGTTCCAGTGCAACCGCAAGAATGGAATCAATTTTACTATAAAATTACGATACACTGATGCAAATAGAACCGAACGCAGCAAAAACTAATGATCTTTCTTGGTCCACAGATGGAGAAAGTGGTGCCGGGATTTTCGCACGGCCGCCTCCGACCGGCAAATTGGATTCCGTGTTGACAGCAGCTGTCAGAGCGCTCGGACTCACCTTTGACAAGTCGCTGCAGGATAATCTCCTTGTGCTCGTGCGTGTGCGGTTCGCCTACGACGGCGAGCAGATAGCATCCCGTGAGGGGGCTCGGAGGCGGCACGGAGGCCGACACCTCCGTGCCGAGAGACAAGGACCGTTCCTCGTCGTGGTCCATTGCCGACGGCGGCGCCGGCGCGACTGCCGACGGTTCGCCCAGTGTAGCGTTCGCGTCCGACCGCTCAGGACGGGCACTCCGCTCGGAATGGTTCGAACACAGCCTGCCCAGACGAGTGCGCGCGCACTCGGCTCGCCATCGACCGCAGGAGCTGCGCGGAGCTCCGACGCGCCGGCGTCTACTCAACCCCCGTCTCCTGTCTCGCCCGCTCCCTCCCCGAAGCTGACGGCAGAGCGAGACGACACCCAACAGGGCGTTCGCGAAGGTACTAGGTTGGCCAGTGCACACGTGATCTGCATTGCGTCTAAACAACCCGGCTGAATAACCTCGTACTCCTCAGCTGTTTTGCAGAATGCCATGGCTGTTACAATCGATAATGATATAATAGGAATGACTTGACGTTTGCTGTTGAAGGAGACCTTTTTGTTGTGATTGGCCGTTTTTTTCTCGATGTCGATGACTTCTAGGCTTTTATTCGCCGAAAGGAAGTTTACATTTTTACTTCGATATGGTCATGCTACATTCGGTAAAAAAGCCATGTAAAGCATGCCTTCAATTTAAATTCTGTTATTAAAGTCTTTCAAAAGGGTCTTATAAATGTCTTCACATTTTTTAAGGAAGTGTACCAAACAATTTTATCTGCGGTCTCAAAATACTTTGCGACGATAAAATAACCTGAACTGTCTTCCCTAAATGTTCTGAAAAAACGACCCTCGGTATGACCTTCAAACGTTCGGTTCCGATTTGTGACCTTGTTTCTCGTGAATAAGAATTAATTCGTTCGCGTTTAGTGTTAGGTAGGTACTTACCAGCGTGGAAAAAACCTTAATTTGATTAATTGACACAGCTTTCATTACTTATCTTTACCATTTTTACACTTTTAACAGTTATGAGATTCGACCTTTTCGCCAAATTTCTTTCAAAGTAAGATGATAAATCTTACGCTTTATTAAAAGTTTTGCTTAACAGGATTTAAGAAGGGAAGAAGACAGGACTTTAACTAAGTCAGACTAACTAACTAAGACTTTAACAGAAAAAAAGAACCAACGCAATGATCACTCAATTGTCTGTTAATACGTGAATCAAGACCCGTTTTATTTTGGAAATGTGGCAAGTTTTTCAAGTTATAAATTAATAAAGCAGAAAAGGATGGAGTCTAGAATAGTTCGATCATGAACTATTCTCTTGATTGTTGTAAACTAACCATTTTAGTTCAGTTTGCAAAACAAACAAATACCTTATCCGCCTTATTAGAAAACGTAGACTAAAGTTAAACCTGAACTAAAACTGATGCTGTCACTTTAGTTAGCTGAAAATAAGACAGAATCAACAATAGGTTCAAACCAAGACTAACTTTAGTCCGCGTTTTGGAATAAGGCGGAAAGTGAAGATCTGTGAAGAAGCTGTAGAAATAAAACTTCAAATTTGACCGTTTATAACAAATACGGCTGTTTATGGTGCACAAAATTGTTATTATAAGGAACTTTCTGCTGACCTGACCTGATTTTTTTTTGTCTCTGGAAAATGTCTTACGCTTCCTTCAACCACTGGGGGAGCGAGAAGAAGGTATGTGGGACTCCTCCCTGTCCCCTTCAGCCAGCCCTGGAGCTCGCTGATGTGAACAGGGCCCTACCTACGCCCTGAACAGGGCCACTAAAACCAGACAATACTCCTGCACCCTCACCCGACACGCACTATGAGGACCGCGGTCACCCGACACGCACTATGAGGACCGCGGTCCCCCTAGTGCGTGCCGAGAGGGCGGGTGAGGTCGCGGAACCCGTCTCCAAATGTCCGCGCAGACCTGACCTGACCTGACCTGAGGAGCTCCAGTCGCGGGTGGTTAGCGCGTTTGGATGCGATCGTTGACGTACGCAGCGGTCAGTCATTGGATGGGTGACCAAAATTGTTCTATCTCGAGTTCCTCCGTGCTTCGGAAGGCACGTTGGTCCCGGCTGCATCTGTAGTTGTTAGCACCCGCCAATCCGCGCTGGGCCCGCGTGGTGGGTCATGGCCTAATCTCCCTATTCCATCCATAGGGAAGGCCTGTGCTCCAGCAGTGGGAACATTAATAGGCTGGTGATGATTCCGTTGACCTAGAACTATGAAATTTGGTAAGTACTTAAGTAATATTGTCTTATTTGTTTCTTAGGTTTTCACGCACATCACTCATTAAAATAAAACTAGTTTTAACGGGTTAATGCACGAACTTCATTTATTAATTGACGTTTCGCAGCCCTTTCAGGTCTGCATCGTCAAAATAATGATTTTTTTATTTACTTTGTCGAGCTACCTTCGAAAGACTTTTATTGAGCGCTCGGATATTACATTGGAAGATTTTTGAAACTTTATTGTCTATGTATGAATTTATTAGTTAATTTAGTTAATAAAGTACTTTAATTAAAATTCCTTTTTGAAATTTTGAGTTTATTTATTTGACTCTAACTACCGTAAACTACCACCGGTTCCAAAATTGGGAGACCTTTCTGAGAAGAACCGGCGAAACAAAATCAGAGAGGCTTTTCTATCTCCTTCTTATGTTAAATCATGCAAACAAAAAGAACTAATAGTATCTGATGGTCTTGACACTGCAAGAGTGTGTGCTCGGAGTTGGGATTTTATCTCTTGTATAATGGGTTATCAAGCTGGTGGTACACACCAACCATCTTCCCTATTGAAATTTGGATCCAAATTTCAAAGTAAATAAAAAATCATTATTCTGATGATGCAGACCTGAAAAGGCTGCGAAACGTCAATAAATAAATAAAGTTCGAGCATTAACCCGTTAAAACTAGTTTTATTTTAATATTGTCTAATACTGTAAGTGCCGCAAAAAATCTAATAAAAGAAGAATAACAAAAGGTCAGGCAACGATATGCGCGGTCATAACAGGGTACTTGACAAGCCTAAGAAAATGATCTTACGTTATTTACTAATGTTTATAGAGTCCCTTAAAAGCGGATATTTTAATTCTGTTGTGTAATTCAGTAAAAAAAAGCTAACTTCAATATTCATTGGTTTCAATCGAAAAATGGCTGACTGATTTGGCATTTTTGACTGACATCACAATGCACTTGAACACCATTAACTTGGAGCTTCAAGGTAAAGGAAAAACTATTATTGAAAATACCTCTTTCCTTTATTTATTTGTTTATTTTTTATTTTTTTTCATATAAATATGCATCTATATTATTACCGTTTTTATTTTATTTTATAATATTGCTCTTACACCCTTCCCCCTTTTTTTTGTTCTTTATACTTATTTAATTTTCCGTCATGGGTGCCTGGAAGAGATTGCTATTAAGCAATAAGGCCGCCCATTGTGTAATGTCTCTCTGTCAGTGTAATCTTACTGTTATGTCCTTTGTGGTGTTATACAATAAAGAATATTATTATTATTCTCTCATTTATTTAATTTCACAAGTTAGGTTTTTTATAAAATAGATATAAAAGTAAAATACAAACACGTAAATACAAAAATAAATATAGTATAAAAAACCTAACCTAGAAGGCCACCAGCAGCGGAGCGAGGCCCAAGCTACCGGTGGTTAGGGCCGCAGAGAAAGAAACCGCCTGACGATGCGCGCCGTGTCCAGGAGTACTGCCTTTTGCATCTGCCCCTTGACCCAACCATCTAGCGAGAGAATAATATAATATAATATAATATATAATATAATATATAATATATATAATCTATTATTATTATTATTATTGAGATGATTAGCGCAGTAAACACATTCAAAAGTAAATTGCAACTTATGATGGATCAACTGAAAAGAATGGATCTGAAACATTTTCCTGACACATTTCCAACTGAGGAATCAGTTGAATTATGATGCGTATGAGGCTGAATTATCAAATATTTTGGGACAATTTGAAATGCGTTTTTATGATTGCAGTAAATTGGCAAATAAAGCATCATTTATCCTTTTTCATGTAAAAACATTGAGGAATTAGCTACTGAAATAGCAAGTCAGTTTAATATGAACTCATGTTCTGTTGAAAATGAGTTGGTGCAGATTATATCAGATATAAGTACATCTCAAAGCTACAGCATCTGATACAAATTTCTGATGTTTTATTTCTGAAGATAAATATCCTAATCTATCCGAACAACAAAGGTATTGATGTGTTCAACTCCCGTTTCTCAGTGTTCAAAAGAAGCATCTCTAGTTTGTTCGGCCCTGCTACTCAAGATCCTTAATTTCCATTTTTTATTTTATTTTATTTTTATTACCTCGTTTTATTAACTGTGTTAAACGATTTAGCCTAGTTTTAAAGTTTTGCTTTGCTTTTATTTTGCCATGATTTTATTTATACTGTGCACAATGTTTTGGATGGCAGTTCAGATTTTTACCAAATTTATGTTTTTTAACCATGTGATAACTGCACTCTGTTTGTGTACCTATTAAATAAATAAATCTAAGGCAAATTCAACTGACGGCAACGTTCGGGTCAACTTATTGTCTGCTCTTATTTTCTGAAATGAACATAATTAAGTAAAAATATCGCAATCGACTAACTGACGATCATATGTCATCATGCTTGCGATTAGCACTCAGTGGTCATGTACCATCTCATGAAAAGTATGCTGAGGACATGCAGTGTCACGCTTCAACATCCAAAGTCACTCCTTAGTTAAGTCTAACACCATATATAACTCTTTTGTTTTGTAACAACCAATAAACTCGCAATTTTGAATAACTATGAGTTTTTTCATTGAAATTGTAGAGAAGAACCTAGTTAAACCTAACCCAAACCTTGACTAAAATTATTTATATTGTGGGGAAAGCTAATCTATCTGTATATACAAAACTCAAAGGTGACTGACTGACATAGTAATCTATAAACGCACAGCCCAAACCACAGGACGGATCGGGCTAAAATTTGGCATGCAGGTAGATGTTATGACGTAGGCATCCGATAAGAAAGGATTTTGATCAATTCTACCCCCAAGGGGACAAAATAGGGAATGAAAGTTTGTATGAAACTTTCTCAATTTTGAACCGATCGTGCTGAGACTTTGCATGCAGGTATAAGAAGAATCATAGATGAATGTCATTGTGTATAATACAAGCCTAAGAACAAAAACTGTAGTCTACATTTCAGCTCTACACCGAAGCGAAGCGAGGGCGGG